CTTTGACACCATCGATCACTTTGCAATTTTTGAAGATCCAAGAACATGAACATTAACAAGACATAATTCCATTCTTGATAAACATCCAGAGTCAGCTATAATTCATCTTGACAATCACGAGTCAGAAAAATTAACTATACAAAAAGGATTGAGACAAGGAGACCCCATATCACCCAGACTATTCACAACAGCAACCAAAGATATTATGTTCAAAAAGGAAACTTTCAGTAAAGGAATTTTAATAGATGGAGAACACTCGGAAGCCGTTAGATTCGCCAACGATCTGTCACTTTGATCTACAAATGGACATTAACTTAAATATCATAAATATCGAAAGCAAAAGGTGGGCGTTAAAGTCCACAAAGATAAAACAAAATACATTACGAACTACAACAGCGACAAACGATTGCTATAGGGAAAAAAGAAAATCTTGGGCAAAGAACATACATGGAGGAGAGAACAAAATAGGCGGTGAACAGAAAAAAACAATACGTGGCCTGGGGTTACGTTGGAAAATACAAAGAAATATTTAAAGACCAAAATCTGCCGATATCACCGACAAGACATAATTCGATCTTTATCCAGTGCTTTGCCCCAGCAAAAAGCTGTAGGTGCCAAACCTGGCCAATAACCAGAAACATCATGCACACACTAATGACAACACAAAGAGCAATAGAACAGAAGATTCTGGGTGTAAGAACACAAGACCAAATACATCACACAAAATATTCGAGGGGAAACAGGAGTGACAGGTATACCCAAATTTACACAACAACAAAACTGGAATTAATGTCCCGGTCACGTCAGAAGAATGAAAGACAATGGATGGACAAAAAATTTACCGAATGGAGACAAAGAACAGGAAAAAGATCTAGAGGTAGACCCGAATGAGGAGGACAGAGGGTGCAACCTGGACACGGAAAAAGCTGACAAATAGAGAGAAGGTGGTTGTCCAAGAGTTATATCCGACAGTGGACAAAAAACGCCTTGAAAGAAAAGAAAGAACACATTGTCAAGTCTATGATTATTTCCGAAATGCTTGAGCTACGGTTACATCTAGGTAGAACAAGATTCGGCCTTGGCTGTGAGTCTGGGCTCCATTCGGCACTTGAACTCGTCTGGACAAATCACTGTCTTTGTTTCCCTGCCCTTTGGGTTGGCAGACGGGAGCGGTACATCAACTGGGGGCAGAAATCGATACTTTTGAAGCAAAGTGACCACGATGAAAAAGATACGAATCCTCGAGAAACTTTCACCAGGACAAGATCTTTTCCCAGTCCCAAAAGGTAAAAAGTTCTGTCGTGTGGGATGTTCTGGGTCGAGGAGTTGACCATCTGAGTCCAGGAACCTCTCTGGTTTGAACTCCCAGGGGTCTTCCCACAAGCCCTCTCTATGGTGGAAGTACCAGGCGTTCAGGATAAGAAAGGTACCTTTAGGAATGAAATGTCCTTCAAAAGGAATGTCCCCACAGGCGTAGTGAGGTAGCAGCTGAGGCGCTGCTGAGGAATATCTCAAGGTCTCCAGGGAAACATTGACTAGGTATTCTCTGTGGGCGGGAAACATTGACTAGGTATTCTCTGTGGGCGGGAAACATTGACTAGGTATTCTCTGTGGGCGGGAAACATTGACTAGGTATTCTCTGTGGGCTCCTTCTTTCCTACTATCAAACATCTATCACACGTGTCTCTTCCTTCTTTTCTTTGTTTGTTACTCTCTAGCCTCGCTGTGCCGTTTTGTAAACTGTTGTGAATGTCAGGCCTACCAACTTGCTTGTGTCTCACGGGCTCATATTAGGTCCTTATCTAGTTGGAAATGCTGTAAAACTCTCTTTTACCTCAATTTAATGTCGGTTTGTGGACAATAATTATTGATATGGGGGAAATAAGGAAGGAAAAGACAGAGGGCCGAATGGTTGATCTTGGTTGTATTACTAGCGATTGATTTAAATAACACGTACACACACAAATACACACTCAGAAACACACAGACACACACAAACACGCTTACACACGCACGCACACGTACACACAGACATACATACGCACACACACTCACACACAGACATACACATACACAAAAACGCTC